ATGCCAAATTGAAGGCCTTCTGCCAGAAAGAGAGAAACCCAAATCTCTGCAAAAATCAGGAAATCCTGTCCTAGAATTACAGAATTGTAGAGTTGGAAAGGACATCATAAATCGTCTAGTCCAACTCTGTGCAGAATCCACTAGAGCATCTGACAGAGGACCATCCATTCAGAGGACCCCAATTCTCTGTTTGAAGACCTCCAGTTAAGGAGAATTTGCCACTTCATGTGGGAGCCTGTTCCATTGGCTGACAGCCCATACAGTCAGGAAGTTTATCCTGACATCTAGCATGAACCAACTTCCTTGTAACTTTATCTTGCTGGTTCTGGTGGAATAAGTCCACACTCCCTTTTTCATGTGGCAATCCTTCAGAACTTTGAAGATTGGAAGACTGCTACCGTATCTTCCCTCAGACATCTAGAGATCAGACATCAGACATCTAAAGATCTAGCAGATCTAGAGTACATACTCTAGGCTGTGTCTCTGGCATTTGTAATGAGTCTCCAGCCCTGATATTAATATCGTAAGAAGTATGTAATATGCAAATGTACACAAAGTAAAAATGGAATGCAGCACAGCATGTGAACAAAATAAGTATGTCGGCATAAAATTATAGGAACTGGCTGATTCTACCAAAATCCAGCCCAAGAATTCTTTGCAAGGTCCCAAGCAGTTGTGGAAAAGTCCCTCGGATGTTATTTGACCCCAATATTTGGCACGTCCTTTCTCTATGCAGAGGGAGCCCCTGATGGTCTATGATGAGCCACAGCTTTTGAATAACCTTCACAAGCTTATAGGCTTAACTTGGAAATCAAATTTAGGGAAGAGAGAAAAGTCCTTTTCTCCTCGTGGAGACATTTCCTCCCAGACCTTAATTATGTCACTGAACAAATGCTGAAAACACTCCCCGCACTTTTAAGCCTTTGAAAGCATTGGCTCCTTCACAAAAATACCCAACTATTGTACAAAAAGGTACCACAAAAAACAATCAGCCCAAGTTGAACCTTTCAGACTTACCATTCTTGGGTAGGAAAAAAAGAGGCTGAAGGCTAATTTGGAAGTGGAATTTATAAACAGGCGAGGAGAACTTTGTTCTTTGCAGGCCGACTGCAAACATCAGTTTCCTTTTCAAAGGATCACGTGTCCCTTCCCTCCTTTCCGGGTTGTAATTTAATGCGAGTCAAGTTCCTTCTCTGACTTCCTTGAGTGCAAAACACATTGAGGGACTGTCTCAGAATTAGCATCTTTCAGGGCCTTTCCACTAAATTCATCCTCTAAAAACTAACAGGGCTGTTATGCAAGTGTTCAAGGGGTTGACAAACGTTCGACGTGACACCCCCTTCAAAGCACATTTGCAAACACAGCGACCTTTACTTTCCCCCGCCACAGCCTCTGCTGGAACTTGCAATAAACTTCTTCTGCTTCGAGAAAAGCCCCCTTCAAGGCTGCGTTACAAAGGAACGGGTGTGCGGACACCCCCAAGTGAATGCCGCTGCTTCCCTCCTCTCCTCCTGGGCTTCCAGCGACACTTGTGATACTCCTCAGTAGCACAACTGTGAAGAGGCGCCCTTCGCTGAGGCAAATCTCTGTCACCTCGCCCAGGCCCAGGTAATATTGCCGTCCTCAGTTACATTCAAGGTTCCCGTGAAGAAAGCCCCCGGCTTCTGAACAGCTCACTTAGCAGTCCTGTAGCCACGTAACCTTTCTCACCGTACCAAAAGAATCACAGAAGCGGTGGGACAACTGATGCCTATTTTTTTCTTTCGTTAAGAGCGCTTAATAAAATGATATTTACAAATGTAATGAAAAGGCAGCAGTGGCCTTTTCATGCGATGTAGCCATTCCTTAAACTGTTGGACCCAATTACCCCTTTTCCCAGTCTCAAAGAACGTCATTATCCCCCCACCCCCAAAAAGACTCTGCTAGGGCCTCCACAGCAGCAGTCTCAAGCTGGATCCTTGACTCACAAACAAGCAATTACAATTTGCTCCATAACCCCAGGATGTGCCCAAATTACCCCCAGTTGCAGAACCACTGCCTTAGAGTAACTGAAAGGTTATGCGGAGAATACAAAGAACTGTTAGCGGTAGAAAACTTGGACTATTTGTAAACTCAGGAAATTCAGATACTGTACTGAGATGACAACATGCATTCCTTAGTAGCAATCCTGAAAAATGAATGTTTTGTTATTTTTTATTGATTTCTTGCCATATATTACAATAACAAAATATCAAAGAAGAGGGTTCCCACCCATATATTTTCATAGCATGTGCTGAAACAGGGAAGTGGATCTCCCTTCAAAATGTTATAATTTCAGCAAGACATAATAATATGCTATGTTAACACCCCAATTCTAAGAAGCTCAGAGTGTCCAGAGAGAACCTGAGCACTACTCAGGCATGAAAACATACAGTATGATGAACCCAGTGATAATGATACTACACGATTCACTTCTGGATCCTGTACTCTTTCATATTTTTATTAATATGCAGATGACACAAAATTCTGTGGGAGAGCTAATTCCCTAGAAGACAGAGAAAAAATTCAGAACAATTTTGATAGGTTGGAGAAACGGATGTGAAAAATAATAGAACGCAATTTAGCCGAGATAAACGCAAAGTTCTTCACTTAAGAAACAGGCATTAAATGTGCAAATATAGGATGGGGGATGCTTCTGAAAAAGACCTAGGAATAATATTAGTTACAAACAGAATAAGCCAGCAGGGCAGGGCAGCTGCAAAAAGGACAAATGCAGTTATAGGCTGCATCAACAGAAGGATAATTTCAATACCAGAAGAAGTAACAGTTGCATTTTATTCTATGTTGGTCTGACTCAACCTCACGTATTGTGTCCCGCTTGGGGTACTATACTTTCAGAAGGGTTCAGACAAACTGGAACAGGTTCAATGAAAAATGGGGATTAAATAAAACATGGTTGTTCCTTTTAAAATAAGACAATCCGGGTAAATATGAGCAGAAGGAAATTCTGTTTACGGAGTCTTCTACTTCTAGGAATAGATAAAAACATTTAGCCAGAATGCTGCACTATTCCATTTTTACCTTCTAGTCACCAGAAAGGCAACAAAGATCTGAGTCCCTATTTCTCTCACGTGCTGGAGTTAGGGGGGTGGACACTAGGTGAGACTTCCCAGAAGGTAGGTAGTAGCAACAGGAACTCCCAAGCCACTAACCCAAAGCAGGAGGAAAGGCCAGGTAATGTAAGAGATGGGAGCTTTTTCTCCTTTAACTTTTAAAAAGGCTGATACGGGTTTACGGTCATACCAGGAGGTGCCAAAGAATAGCATGCTCTATTGTTAAAAAAATGACGTTTTCTTACATTTGAAGTTGCGCTCTTCCATCCGGCATGGTCATCGTCAGGCGGGCCCACTTCTGATTTGTGCTGCCCATCAGGCTTCGGTCTTCCCATAACACGTCTGTGTAAGAGAAAAAGATGTAGGCTAGTCATACCCAGGTCACCTACAGCATTCCCTGCTAATGGTTAAGAGTGTGCCAATCAATTTGGGCATATTTTGGCCAAAATGCAATGCACAACAAAGCCCAGCTTACCCAAGCATGTTCATGCTTTAAAATGCAAACTAAGAGTACATGCATTGCATTGGCAGACACTTCGGGCACAGATCACAT